CCTCAACTTATGTGTATTATTTCAACTGGTCACCAAGTTCTTAGGTCATCAATAGTTACGTTGTTTGGCCCTACCTTTTTAAAAACTTTTATTTTTGACAGAGTCTCACTCCCTCATCCAGGCTGGAGTGCCATGGTGCCATCTCAGCTCACTGCAATGTCCACCTCTGGAGTTCAAGCAATTTTTATGCCTCAGCCTCCTGAGTAGCTGGGATTACAGTCGCGTGCCAGTACACCTGGCTAACTTTCGTATTTTTGGTAGAGACGGAGTTTCACCATATGGCCAGACTGGTCTCAAACTCCTGACCTCACCTCAGCCTCCCAAAGTGCTGGGATTACAGACGTGAGCCACTGCACCTGGTCTGGCCCTACTATTTAATAACCAATACTGTGAGGTACAGCTTTTGGCAAAACTCTTAGGGATGTTGGAAAACAATTACTACCATGAACAGAGAATATTTGGAAATTTCTGCCCTAGGACCACTTCTATATTAGAATGGAGCATACTGAATGATCTTCATCCTTCTAACCTGGAGCTACCAAGATTGTATCCTGGCTCACTTCCAATATGACTCTAGTCTTTATTCTTGATGATTCTCTCACTCCGGCCCCTCATATCCTGTACTTCTCTCTTCCACTTTGTCATCCCTCATTATCTCAGCCACTAACTCCCTTTGCCATCTTGTCATTGCTACATACATAACATCATGTAATGTAATGTTAGTGACTGACTCCAAAGAGCCTTTAAAACAACCTCCATGTCTTCCCCTCAACTCCCATCCATGTAAACTGCCTTTCAGCAACCTCCACCTATCCTTAGCATGTGCTCTTTTCCCTTCAGCTTAAGTTCCACAATCAATCATTATGATTCCCCCCTTGCTTACACCCTCAACTTCCTTGCTCTCTTCTTGTTTCATTATATTGCTTTACAGATGCCCCTACCCTGGTGAAATCTAGCCCTCTGCTTTCTCTGGCCTATACCTGTATAGCTAGCTGGACGGTTGCAAGACCCCGTGACTGCCTCTTAAACCCATTCTCCATGCATCAGTCAGAGAGACTTTCAAAACTCACTTTATTGCTTAAAACACTTCTAGGTTCATTGAACCCTCAGAATACAGTCAAAATGCAGTAAGATACTTTATGGGGCCTTATATGGTTTGGCTCTGTGTCCCCATTCAAATCTCATTTCAAATTGTAATCCCCACATGTGGAGGGAGGGAGGTGATTGGATCATGGGGGTAGTTTCCTCAGGCCGTTTGTGTGATAATGAGTGAGCTCTCAGTTTCCCCCATGCTGTTCTTGTGATAATGAGTGAGTTCTCACTAAATCTGGTGGTTTTATAAGGGGCTCTTCCTCCTTTGCTTTCTCTTCTCCCTCTTGCCACCTTGTGAAGAAAGTGCCCGCTTCCCCTTCTGCCATGATTGTGAATTTCCTGAGGCCTTTGGAGCCATGTGGAACTGTGAGTCAATTAAACCCATCCTTTATAAATTACTGAGACTCAGGGAAGTTCTCTATAGCAGAATGAGAACAGACTAACATAGGGCCCTCCATGCTCTGACCCTCTCTTGCCTCTCCAACCTTCTTTTTCAACATGCACCCTTCCTCACAGCCCACACTCTGCACTTTGCATTCTGCAGTTCCTAGAATGTTTCCTGTTCTCCATCCTTGGCACATCTCATTCCCTCTGGAAATGGCATTTCCTAACCAACTGGACTAGTCTCTCAGAGCTTCCTGAGATGTCACATTTTTCGGAAGCCTCCCTGACACCCGTCCTGTGTGCTCCATAGATTGCCATCAAGTAACAGCCCTGAGCCTGTACTGCAGGTACCTGTTTACTTATTTGTTTCCCTCACTACACTGGGAGCTTTTCGGGGGCGGGCAATGTGTTTTGTCCACTGTCGACCCTGCAGGATATGGCCCAGTAACAGGCATATAGAATGTACACCATAACTAATTGTTGAATTGTCATAAAATCTGTGAATGGTGTTTTTAAAATACAGATATATACACCTGTCCATGTGTTTCAGAGTTCAGTCATACTGTCAAAGGTGATGGTATGTTTGAAAGAGTTCAGTCTTGCCGAACCAATTCTGCTTCCAAATTCCTAAGTTTCTGGGGTGTGAGCTCATTCTCCCTTATTATTTCATCTTTCAGCATAATGCACTACTGAATCCTTATAACAATCAGCACACTCTTTCCTACGGAGTAAATCATGTGTTACTGTCTGTACATTAGCCAAGAGACTTCAGTACAAACCTCTGTTTTTAGTAGTTTCATGTTGTTTGATTTTTGTATTTGAGAGACTAGATGTAAATGTTTCCAGGGAAGTTTACTGCCAGATGCAGAGGTGAAAGGACAGTAGAAGCCATGTCCTTACTCATGGCTGTCCCTCCAAGGATCACTTTCATAGGTTGGCACTTTCATAGGTCCCTTGATATAGCAGTAATGATATAATTTTCAAAAATGTATTTTAATGAAGTTTAGAAAACAGAAATAAGGTACAGGGCCCCAAAGCACTCCCCCAAGTGTGGGGGCCCAGAGTGGCCATCTCTAGACCCCCAGAGTGACCCAAAGATCAGCTTGACTCCCCTTACATGAGAAAGATAATCCTGCGAGAATAAATATAAGTAGATAAATGGATGAATGAATATAAGTGCATGAAATTGAAACAAGAGGACTTCAACCATTATGTGATGGCATAAAACAGAATATTCTGGAACTACAAAAATAAAACTTTGGACTGGGTGAGGTGGCTCATGCCTGTAATCCCAATGCTTTGGAACACTGAGTCGGGAGGTTTGCTTGGGGCCCAGAGTTTGAGATTACACTGAGCTATGATCTTGCCATTGCACTCCAGCCGGGACAACAGAGCAAGACCCTGTCACAAGGACGCTGGAATTTGTCCATAAATACATTTTTATTTATATATTCTCCATCTCTCTTTGTATCCTATTTTGTGTAGAGAGCAATGTGATTTTTTTTTTTTTTTTTTTTTTTTTTTTTTTTTTTTTTTACTTACCAGGCTGCCTACTAGTTTGCAGTTAACACCACTTTACTGTATTCTATAAAGGCACTGCCAAGGTCAGTTGGCTCAAGGTTTGTGTTTCTTCCTTGAGAAAAATACAGAAAGAAGAAAAATAGATCTTTGGTTTGAATAGGAGAGTGGAAAAGAAAATTGGAATTGAAATACAATTGTACATTTTCTGCAGAGTTCACCAATTATTTTTCATTTTCGAATTGAGTTTTGCCATTTCTCCTCAATGGGAATGCTGCCACTTAGAGATAAACACAAAAAAATAAATAAATAAAAAACAAAACAACAGCAAAAAACCACACACACAAAACATCCATAGTAAGGGTTGCCACTGTTTTACTGCAGCATCTCAGCAGATGACCTCCAGGTGTTGCTGTTGGCAAATGGTTGTGAGTCTATTGAAATTACGGCCTTACATGGTGGCTCACATCTGCAATCCCCGCACTTTGGGAGGCCAAGGCAGGTGGATTACCTGAGGTCAGGAGTTCGAGACCAGCCTGGCCAACATGGTGAAACCCCGTCTCTACTAAAAATACAAAAATTAGCCAGGAGTGGTGGCACATGCCTGTAATAACAGCTACTCAGGAGGCTGAGGTGGGAGAATTGCTTGAACCCTGGTGGCGGAGGTTGCAGTGAGCCGAGATTGCACCACCTGCACTCTCGCCTGGGCAAAAGAGCAAAACTCCATCTCAAAAAAAAAAAAAAAAAGAAAAAAGAAAAGAAGAAAAAAGAAATCACGCCATTTGTTTTAAATTATGACGTCTTTGAAAAGCATGCAATCAATTCGCTGGGTTAGCGACGAGAATACGGAAGTTGAAGTGCATGTATAGAAAGAAGTCTATAAAATGGCAAAAACCGAAAGGGAAGGAAATGAGCTATTCGAGTATTCTCTGTCTTGCTAGTAAACAAGTTCCAACTCTGCAAATCAGTTTTCAAAAGAATACCGATTGTTTCATAAGTACCTGCAAACTCTGAAACATTTTAGGCAAGGGAATGAGGGGAAAAAAGTATCTTCATGTTTTGTGCATTACAACAATAAATGCTTTTACATAACAATGTGGAGTCTTCAAAGCGACCCTGCCAAGAGGGAGAAAGTGGTCCTTTTCGACGTATTGTTTTCTGCTAGAAGGCCCTCAATTAGAATTGTACTTAAGCATACATAATATAGGATATTATTTTTATATTAGAATATTGCTAGTGCTGCACGTAGGATGGGATACCTGCTCTCCGTTTACAAATACCCAGGTGCAACGCTGCGCGGGCCCCCAAAGGACAGAGGACAGAGTCTTTGCCGTGGGGGAGCGGGTCACGAAAACGCCCTGCCGCAGTGCTCCTTCCCGCGAACCTGGCAGGGCAGTGATTCTTGGTTGTTTCCCACATAGGAAAGTGTCAGTTCATGTGTGTCCCTTTCTCCACTAGATGTCACTGTAAATCAACTGCTTGAGGACGGGACCCCGGTGTTTGGCGCATCTTCACACAGTGCCGGGTGTTGAAGCCCGGTCAGTGCCTGCACTGGTGTCCTTCCCGACAGTGGAGCCCAGAGCGGGGCGGGCGCAGGGACTCGCTGTGCAAGGAGCAGCGTGCTGTCTGAGCGGCGACCAAGGCGCCGCGACCAGGGCACGAAGCGCAGGGGTGGCCGGGGCAGGGAAGGAGGGCGCACGGTGGGCGGGCGGCGCAGTGCGGGGGCGGGCCCGCGCCGCGCTCCCCTCCGCCCCCGCGAGCGAGACGGTCACGTGCCACCGAGGCGCTGCCCGCTGCGGGCGGCTGCAGAACAGGAGGGCGGGGCCGGAGAGGGGAGGGACGCAGCGGTCGACGCGGGGCTCGGAGGTGCCACGCCCGAGGCAGGGGTCGCCTCGGGCCGGGGGAAAGCCGAGCGCGTGCGCTGCGCGGCTGTGTGTGCGAGCGGGGGTGGGGCGGGGTGTGGGCGGGGCCAGAGAGCGCGCTCAGGACGCCAGGAGGCGTGGCTGAGGCGCGCGCGCCAGTTGGAGGGGGAGGGGCGGAGAGTCGTTGCGGAGCGCGCGCGGGGCTGGTAGCCGCGAGCGTGGGGGAACGTGGACCGCTTCGCGGCGCGGCGGAGGTGCTGCCTTCTGTCGGCCCTCCACCGTGGTCCGGGCGAGGGCACTGGCGACCGTGGGGCCGGGGTCGGCCAGGCCGGAGGAGGCGGCCGGGCCCGGGCATGGTGGTCTCGGGCAACGCGGAAGGTGAGCGACCCCCGGGCTGGCGGCGGGGTGGGGGAGGGGCGGAACCGGACACGCGTCGCCCGGAGGCGCTGTAGACCCGCCCGGCAGCGACCAGAGCGCGGCCGGCCTGAGGTGGGGCGGGGGTGGGGCGCGTCGCCCCGGCCCCGGCCCGGGGCCGTCTTCTCGCGGCCTGGGCGGCCCGCGGCGCCCGCCACTCGCGCCTGCAGCCGCCAGATTATGTAACGTGTGACCTCCTCTTCTCCTCAGTCATGGTGCGGCCTGCCCCGCACGGCCGCCGGCCCCATGGCCCTTCTCTCCGCGCTCTCCGCGCTCCCCGCGTCTGGCCGGCCCGGTCAGACCGCGCCGCAAACTCCTTCCTCCTGCGCCGGCGCCTTGGCTGGCCATTCAGTCCCGCGCCATTCATTGACGCGCGCGTTCGGGCGTTCGTTCCGCAAGCGTTTGCGGAATGTCGATCTGGTTGAACTGCCGCTCCTACTCGGCCTCCGTGGCCCCGGGTGCATCCCGCAACCTCGGTCGGAACGTCCGAAGGCGGTTACTACTCCCTTATTTTTCCTTGCAGCTTGTCGGTTCCCTTAATAACCAGGGCGCTGTTCCCCAACTGTCCTTCCGAGCACCCCTTGCCTACTTCCGTACTGTTACAGTGATGCCGCCCTGGGTGTACCGAGCTCCTCTGTGTTTCGCTGCTCTTCCTACCGATTCCCAGTTTGTAAAGAAATAATCTTAACACTGCTTAATGTACTCTAACATCAAATACACTGTAGGTAATATACGTCTGCTAATTCTCGTTATCTCCACGTCTTCTCACGCTATGTACTAAGTAGAAATGGTTTCATTTAGGTGAAAATAATGCAGGCTAGCATGTAGCAGTAACAAGGGCTTGTAACTATTAAGGACTTTATGTAACAATCCGTAATTCTGTGTATCTGCCTGGTCTTTCTGGACTTTGCACTTTAGTCTCCAAGAATAAGCCATTTCCTGTTTAGGTAGAGAAGCACCAACCATAACCTTGGTTTTTCTTCTCGAGTGCTGTATACAGTAAATCAGCCTGTGGGAACCATTAACCTTTCAAACACATCCTTGGCTTGCCCGTGCAAGCACAAGTGCAGCGTGGTGTTCTCTCCCTTCCCGTACTGGACACTTAAAAGTTCCTCTTGTTCCAGGAATTATTCTCCAGTAAACAAGGATCTCTTCCATGCAATTCTTAGGATATCTCTTTGCCACTTTTCCTCTGTTATGATTTATCTTTTTATTCCTGTCTTATTTTGTAGGACCTTTGAGGATAGAGACTGTACCAAACTCCTGTCCTTTGTTTTGGAACCATAACCACTTTTTTATGGTAAACAGTACATATTTAATATTTTTTCTAAAGATGAGGATTGCTCTTTTAGCATTAATTTCTAGAAGGTCTCAAGTAGAACATCATTTTTTAAAAATAATGTGCTTGAATAAATAAGGTCACTACATTTCCCCTACTCCCAACTTCAAAACTCTGATTCTACATAGGAGAATTAAACCTTGTCCTCACCAGCAACAGACTAGTCATTATACATAAGTTTCAGTGACTACAAATAAAATATATTTGAAAGCCTTTTCTTTGATAGCTGTTGTAGTGGGAATATAGGAACTTCAGTTAGATGTAGGTTGGATTTCTGGCTCTGCCACTTGTTAGCTGGTGACTGTGGACAAGTTACTAGTATCTGATTTTTTCTCATTTGTAGAATGAAAGTATGATTTCCCACCTTGGATAGCTAAGGATTAAATGAGTTCTTAAATGTGAGACATCTAGTGAGACCATGGTACCCAGGAGGTGCTCAGTAAATAAATCCTCCCTTTGGTATACCCGTTTATTGCAATTCACAATCTAGAATGAGCCAGGTTGTGCTAGAGACAAAGCGTGAGAGGAAGATAATCAGAAAAGGTGACAGGTACCTCTTGTCTCCAAATAAATGAACAATTCTGACACTAAAGAGCACTGTGCCTGTTTCTCCTTCTCAATAATGTATGGGTGGGTGTATGTGGCATATTACTAATCATAGGGTATGTTAAACAGAACATTTAAAATGAAAAGTTTTTTTTCTGTTGTTATAATAGCACCAACTGAGGCGTTAACATGGACATTAAGAAAGAATCTTATTTTTTTCCAAAGAAAGTCAGGAGAGGAGACCGGAAAAGGGATATTAAAAAGACTCTTCAGAGACAATTAGGTTGCAGGCTCCTCTTTTAGCATCTGGTTGTGAACAGTACATGAATCCTATTCGTAAGTTCGAGTATCTCTTGTTTGGACTGTTGCCTTAGTGCCTTTACTGGTGTCTTTATTTCTCTTGCTCCCTGACTGTCCCCAGGGATTCCCCTTGACAATCAGAGGGAATCTTTTTAAAAATGTAACTCAGATTCTCACTTTCTTGCGCAATATTCTCCAAAAGCTTCTTGTTAACACAATTGAATCTAAGTCCCTTAGCACATCTCATCAGGGCATGGCAGCTGCCAGCTTCTAACCTTACCTCTTACCAGGTGACTGAGCACCCTACCCAGTCCTACAGTCCTTTTGCCGGTTCTTGAACAAACTTCCTACCTTAGGATGTTATACTTGCTATTCTTTTAGCTGGACCACCCCATCCTCTAGGTGGTCATGACTCTTCACGTCTTGTGTTTCTGCTCAAGTGTCATGGCCTCAGAGAGGCCTTTTCTAATTCCAAAATAGGAGCGAGCCCCTTCCTTTATAATTTTTGATTCTTTATTCTCTTTTTCTCCATAGCATTTATTACTAGGTGAAGATACTCGATGTTTTTGTTCACTTACTTAGTGTTTTCCCCCGTTAGACTTGTTTAGCTCCCAGCCTTCTTCCCAACTAGAGAGCAGATGCCTTGTCTTGACTTGTACACAGCTTTATGCCCAGTGCTTAGAACTGTGCGTTGTACATAGCAGGCTCTCAGTAAAACTTGTTGAGTAAGGAAATAGTATAGTTGATTTGAATATTGGTTCTGGAATCGGACAGCCTGGGTCACAATTCTCTGGCTCCTACCATTTACTGATTGTGAGACCATGGGCACCTTAATAAGTTGGTGGTGCCTCAGTTCCGCTCATTTGTAAGATGGCTATAATAATACCTATCTCATAGAATTATGGTGAGTAATAATTGAGTTAATAAATGAAAAGTGCTTAGAACAGGGTAATTTTAAACCTTCTGGTAACTAATTGAAATTAGCTTGTTCACTTAGGATTTTGTATTTTGGCATGAGGTAAAGGTGGATTCATTGAAATTTTTTCTTTCTTTAAATTTTTTGAGACAGGGTCTTGCTCTGTCGCCCAAGCTGCAATGCAGCGGCCTGATCACGGTTCACTGCAGCCTCAACCTCCTGGACTTGAATGATACTCTCCCCTCAGACTCCTGAGTAACTGGGACTACAGGTGCATGCCACCATGCCTGGCTAATTTTTTAATGTTTTGTAAAGATGTGGTCCTTCTATGTTGCCCAGGCTGGTCTCAAACTCTTGGGCTACAGTGATCCTTCTGCCTCATCCTCCCAAAGTGGTGGGATTACTGGTTTGAGCCACTGTGCCTGGCTAAATTTTTTATTTATTACTTTTGTGCTGAAGTTTTGTTAGCTGCTAAAATTATATTTGTGGAACTCCTTTAAAAAATACATTTTGTGGATGTCTAGAACAAATTAAAAAATAAACTGCTGAGAATGGTGACTGGTGTTTGGTTTTAATGTGTAAGTCAGATTTTTTATTCTTCAATCTGTAGAAGATGCTTAGAGTGATTATCTCAACAACCGCCCACCGGAGTGGCTTTTATATAGTTCCCTTTGAAGTTCAGCGGGAGATCTGATTGTGGTGATGAAAGTACTTGCTAGAGGCTTCCTGTCTTCAGACAGGAAAGTCCTTGAAGATCCAGTTGAAGTATGAGTCTTGTAGTATTTGGGAAGGAAATTTTTATCATCTTTAGTGTGTTCAGTTTCTGCTGCCTTAAACTGTGAGTTTTTTCCTCAAATTATATTTGGTTATTAATTGGAATTTAAAGTAGCCCAGCTGTGCTTTGTATGGTTTTGTTCTTTTCATAATAAGATTTTTTTTTTCTTTAGCAGTTACAGAAATAGGAAAAGAAAGAATTAATGGAAGTAGTGACTTTGTAATAATAGATACTTTGAGCTAATATAACTTAAATTATTCTCATAAACTAAAATTCTGTCTGTGGTAATGAAACTTTCATAATACCTGTTATTTTAAATCAGTTCACTTGTCCTTAGTAAAATGCTGGGCTGTTTTCTCAGTCTGAACTTTAACGAGTAATAGGATCCTAAACTTTAGACCGAAGTTTTTTAAAAGTCAAAGGACTGCTTCTTTGTGTATTGTTTCTTCCAAAATTTAATAATTATAAGTTATTAATATTTACTGTGTGCTAGGCTCTTTGCTAAGTGCAATGTCTCATTTAATATCTACAACTACCATGTAAGGTTGACACCATTATAAAGAAACAGATATAGAGAGGTATTGTTACTTGGCCGGTCACACAAGAAAAGAGCCAAGATTTCAGGCTAGTTCCCAAGGTCATAACTGGTCTGCTATGAGGCACATTAAAAACAAGGTTTTTGGTTGGAAGTGTGCCATTACATTTTATCACATTAGTTGTGAGTGTGTGTTCTTAACTACTGGCAGCTTCATCATTATTTATGGCTAATTTTTTAAAATTTTATTTTAGATTTTACTACTACTGTACTTAAATGCGTGTATTATAAATGTGAAATGTTTTAATAGGATGATAACTTGCAATGTAATGTTTTTCTCATTTACTCGTATTTAAAAGTCATTAAAAATAAGTCAGCATCATGTGTCTTGGTGCTTCAGCTTTGTAAATAGTTTGAAAAGGTTTTGCATATAATACGTCATTTAAGAAAACATAAATGTCTAATTTTGCTTAAGGCTAAATTACAGATAGCAAGTAAATATTTAATACAAGTTGCTAGTGATGTGTTCCTGCTGATTCTTTTTTTTTTAAAT